CCAAAATCAGAAAGCACATCTCAGGAGGAAACCCCAACTGAAACAGCCATTCAACAGCCACCTGCAATTACAGCACAGCCTCCCCAAATATCTGCTTCTCTAGAAGCACCACAGCAACCGTCAGTAGAGGCTCAACCAAAATCAGAAAGCACATCTCAGGAGGAAACCCCAACTGAAACAGCCATTCAACAGCCACCAGCAATTACAGCACAGCCTCCCCAAGCATCAACCCAGGTGACAGAAACTGCATCAAATCTCACAGAGGCTACAGAGACGCATGCTGGATCATCTGAGTCGAACAAAAGGGAAGACGGGATGAAGGTTGAAGAGCAAACCCAAGAGAGAGAGCCAGTCCGCCCTTCATTAGAAGCGGAAGAAACGCAGGAGAAAACACAAGAAGATGACACAAAAAAACCATGGACAACTGCAATCACTGATGAGAAGGAAATTGATACAGATCGAAAGGAGGGGCACAAACTAGACAATTCTCATCAAAAGCATGTTCCTGTTGAAGGGGAACGAGTTTCCCTTCAACAAGGAATCATTGAAGATTTTTCCAAGTTAGTTCAAAAGCTAACCGCAGGGCATGCAAAGCTGCCTATGGGCGAAAAACCAGGCAGGCTCCTAACCCTCACTGGAGAAAACAAAGGAGCACTTATGTGTCTGGGAATAGAATCAGGGAAAAGGAAGGAATCGGTGCAGAGTCACGGCGGTTACAATGCAAACCCAGATGACAGTCCTGAAGCAACTACAGATGGAGAAATAAGCTACTCGGGAGAACAGACTGATGATTCAATGACCGAAGAAGATTCAGCATCAAATACATATGTCAACAGTAACACACAGAGCATCGGTAATTCAATCGTGCTCGACTGTTCTGTAACCGACAGAAATCCGGGAGTGCATTTGACATTTTGTCTGAATTTGTCAGAAGATTCAGAACAAACCGTGCCAAGTACCAAGTCAGAACTCTTTGAGACAAAGAAGGATGAGTTTAACATTACCCCTGCTGAGTAGGAACAAGAGCAAGAAGACGATGCCTCAGGGGACTTTTCCTGGAACAAGTGACTTGGAGCCGGATAACCCTGAGAAGCCTCGTCGTCATGGATGTCAGTGTCACTGCGAAATAATTGCATTCTAGTGTGCTTGTATGGAAGGAATGAATACAATAAATCAAAGTACTAAAGATGATATTTCGTACAAAAGAACATACACCACTGCTTGTTGTCTATCATGTCAATTGCAATTTTCTAAAACCAAGGACAAAATTCACATGACGTGATGAAGCTCCCTACTCAGAAGGAATACTGCTGGAAATATATAAATTATGAGACTGCCTTCTTACTACTTTCTGGTTGTGTTATTAAAAATGTAAGCAGACAAACAAAGGTAGTTGCAGATGAAAATAGGCAAAGACTAAATCAATTTCCATGTGTACAAACAAATCGGTAGGGGACAGCACAAAGGCATTGTCTCACCTACATGGGGAAGAAGAGAAGTGTTATTCACAAACTGGTTTTGTGTCAAAGCCGCTTAAGCAGATTGCAAAGGCTTGGAAGGCCGAAAGGGGATAGCAATAATCCACTGTGAAAATGTCTTTCCCAATCTTTCCAAATTGAAGAATCACTTTTTCTTGTTCTGCTGCAGGAACGTTTTGGCCTGGCTCTGCAGCTGCTACCAGCTGGAAATTTTTTACAGAGGCTACTGTAACCCGTCCTTTAAAATTTAGGCACCAACATTGTAGCTGTTCATGCCATCTGGGAGCTTTATTTTTCAAAACCAATGGACCACTTGCATCACGACTTGACTCCATAGGCTCGGCAGAGCAAGGAGAGCTGAATCTGAAAGATGATTTCTTTACATTTGAATCAGATGATGGAGAAAAACGCCTATCAGAGCAATTTGTGAAGTCCGTTGGAGTGGGAGCTGTTCCCCCTTCCTCAATGGCAGACATCGGGATTGAATTCATGATGCAATGCATTTTCCTCGGGCCTCTAGTACGGAGTACATTGAGCTCATAAGCAATGGTGGCTACTCGCTTCATGTGTATTCTTCGATGCAACAGGAAACTGGACTCAGTTGCAGTTTCGTACATGGTGAATTTGGTCCCCAGGAAATTAGACCTGTTTCAGATTTTGCAGATGAATTCCATGTTCAAGAAACAGATGACGCCACATGGCTAAAAAGCTCAGCTTACCTCAGTTTTCCAACAAAGTTGTTACTTGATCTAGAGAAATCATCTCCATTTAAAGATATCAGGAATTCATTCTTTGTGGTCTTTCGGATCTTTTTTGCTGCCAACAACATTTTAGTTGAATTGCCTGACAAAGCTGTAAATTAGATCAACAAAGAAAAAAAAAATCAGTAATTTGCATAATATTGTTGGCTTATATGCATTGTTTATTAATAGTAACGTCAAACAGGCCAGAAGAGATAACTACAGAAATAGAATTCCAAAAGGTTCAAATCCAAGCTATCCTAAAAATTGCCACAAGTTTCAAGACCAACCCATCCTTTCCTATCCAATTTATGAATAGGTAGCTCCAACTCCCAGAAACATTTAACATAAATCAATATGTCATTTACATTTTGCATAATTTGATAATCAACTGAAAGTCTGAAACCAAAGAATATATTGGAATACCAATACATGATCCTAAACCATTCAGCTACAAAAGAATCTGCAGTAAATTGCCAACAGAAATTTAAATGTGTAATTTGTTGAGTTATAAATCTACAAAAACCAAAAGAATAGAAGAATAGAAGATGGGAAGATAAAACAATTCTAACCAACAGAAAAATCTGCATTAGATTGCCAACAGAAATTGATATCTAGAAAAGAATAAAAGAGTAGAAGCTTGCAGGATAAGACAATTCTAACCCAGTTCCTAGCAAACACAGGTAAGTCACTAACAGTATATCAGGGCAGTATAATGATAATTACCAGGACTCAAGCCAAGATACAATCGATACGTTGAGGTCTCCCTTTCCCTCCTAATAAAGCATTGAATCGGGGCATCTCTAGATCCAGGCTAATGAAAGATCAAAATATGAAAAAGTTAGAATCTTGATGACAAAACAGAAGAACTAATGACACATAAATGGTAAAATGTACCTGCTTGAGAGAGATGGGGAAAGTTAGCAACCCACATTGCTCTGGAGTCTTAACTATCTCTTTTGTGAGCTCCCTCCATGACCTACAAACCGAAGCACAAGCAATAGCATTTCTCCTAGCAGGCCAGGACGCTTCGCTAGCTTCTACTCGCCTAATTATATCGGAAAGCAATTCAGGTGGCAAGTCTGCCCAACGAACCTGATCAACGAATACCATAGAGGCTTCGGGAACAATATGCGATTGGCGATGTAGATGCTTCAAATCTGAACCTTTCTTTGATACACCACAGATTCCACCCTTCATTTCCTTAATCTCACGAACAATGCTCTTGAATGATATCACCATTGAACTAACCGTTCTACCATAAAATTAATAAATAAATGAATACACAGCATTAAGATTTTCATTGGAATCGCACAACAAGAACATTGGATATAAAAAACAAGAAAACTTATCAAAGCTATCAGATTTAACACTTTCTGTGTATACCATGTTCAACAAGTTACATTCTGTTGGAATCAACTGATTGAAATACAATCAAAAGTTGCGGGCTTTTTTAATGTTTCGAAGATTTCTTATACAAAAGAACAACACAAACCGCAAGTATGCACCCATGGATCGTTCAAGGTTCAACAAGAATTTATTCAGAGCATAGAAATTAGTAAGTTTTAAGAGATTGCATAATAAAGGATAATCAAATGGTATTCAACAAATGGAAGTAACTCCAGATATCCATAACAGAATAAATTTAATCCCGGGGAACAAACAAGGGAAGCTCGAATATGGGAGAGACAGAGAGAGAGAGAGAGGGATTCATAATGTTGTACCAAAAGAAAGAGCCAAATTTCTGGGAAAACACGAAGTTTAGCCTGGAAAATCGAAGAGAAAGCGGATCGAGGATGGGCGAAATGGAGAATGTCCCAAGGGGGGCCACTAGTCACCGATGTCTCGGACACAGGAAAAGCTGAGAAAGAAAGAGAGAGAGAGAGAGAGAGAGAGAAACGATTAAATGCAATACTGCCAACCGTTTGTGGTTGTTGCACCGCTCCTTCTCTCTCCCTCAGTCTGAGTCCGCCACCGCCTCCACCGCCGCAACCCTTCACCAGCGAACCACCACACAAATGGTAGTTTTTGTTTTTCCTTCTTTTTTATCCCAAATTTCTCATCTTCTCAATTTTTAAAGTGTGGAATCGACAGTGCAATTTTTTTTTTTTAGCTCTTTTTTTTTGTCCGTTGAATTAATTGGCGGGTTTTCCCTTCTGTGTAGTGGCTCAGAGAATAATTCTTCCCTCCAGCTTTCGTGGTAGTGACACGTGGTGCATAGATTAATTAACAAGTTTCTCATTTTCCAAATCTTAAAATTATAATATTAATTTAAAATGTTAACATTTTTAATTTTTTAATTTTAAATTACCGTAACAAGAAGTAAATTTTTTTTCTCCCTTAATCCA